GGGATGTAAAGAAACTTGTTCAAATTCACAAAACTAATAAATAGTATATCTGAACCACAGTCTTTTGTCCTCAGCATTCACATTATTCTCTGGTAAAAGAGGTGCCTCTCTTTACCTTTAACCTCTCTCTTGACTGGGAGCATTCCTAATTCTCCTAATTCTTTTCACTTTTTATGGAGATAAAAATTGACCAGGGAAAAGAATTCAGTGAAACTACCCCTCCTCTTATTTTTGGTTGAGAAATAATGAAGAACAGAGTATGCGTAAAGTCTAAGATGGATGAGACCACATGGTCTCATTGTAGACTAGGTGTTTGGTGGGGAGGGGCATGGCAAGAGAATGCAACCCACCAATAGCTACCAAGCCACCTGGGAGAAGAAAATAACCTGTGATTCCTACTTTCCTGTTTTGTTTCATTACTAGCATTTTTTTTAAATCCTCACTCAAGAATATGTGTATTGATTTTTAGTGAGAGAAAGAGACATCGATGTGAGAGAGAAACGTCAGTCTATTGCCTCTCATACATGCCCCAACCTGGGATCAAACCTGCAACTTAGGTATGTGCCCTGACTGGGAATCGAACCTTTGACCTTTTGGTGTAAGGGATGGCACTCCAACCAACTGAACCACACTGGCCAGGGCACTGGCAGGTTTTTTTGTTTGTTTGTTTTTACTGTTTATTATGGAAAAGTCTTCAGCTTTCAGCACCTTATATGTTAAATAGGCTCTTATGAACTGGTGGTCTAGGAACCTTATTACTCTTACAGTACAGTTTCTGTGGGGAAATGATTTCTAGGTGCTATAAACTTCTGGAATACTAACCAATAAGTAAATTAGGGATTACCTGTGATTGATTATCTAAAAAAGTGAGGATCTATATTCTCTGGGGTGTGAAGGTGTTAGGGTTAGTAGGGAAAGAATGAATCAGGAGATAAACTCTGCAGAAAAGGAAATGAAGGATGTCAAAGGCAAAATTTGCTTGCTCTGCATTTTATCCAAGGCTCTGATGGTATAATCACCTTTTAAATATCGTCTTATTCTTCTTTAGCTTACTGTTATAAATTGCTATCACCTGGCATATTGCATATTAATAAATATTTTCTTATTTAATTAGGTTAAAATTAGTGGCTAAAGTGAGCCCTTATTCATGGGATAACATTCATGACTTAGCTCTTCACCATTGGAGGGTAAATAAAAGTTGGCCACATAAGAGAAGAATAGTGGGAAAATATGAAGTTCCTGGTAGAACACTGCACATGGTGGACACTCCATGTTACTGAGTTCCCTTTCTTGTTCTTATCTCCTTACTGTCTCATTGATGGCAAAGTCTTGTTTTCACCTTGTTTCTATAAGACATATTTGCTTTAGAGTAAAAAAAGAATCCACACAGTATTCTCACTTTCATAATGTCAAACATTTTTATATTTAAAGATTGAAGTGCTTTATTTTAGAGACTGGTATTCTTTGTGGAAGGTTCTGTTTCAAAAATAATATTTTTCTTATACTTAGCCATTTTAACAGATTGCCAATAGATGGCATGCCCTACTGGATAATTTTCCTTCACCCAGGAAGGCCATTCACTGGGCAAACGTGGCTACAAAGGATAAGCCTATTTTCTATGTGTAATAGTACAGTTGCAGAGTGAAAATTGTATGTCACACAAGTATTATTACTGTTTCAATTTATAAATAGTTTGCTCTATGCTTTGTCATTTAGCATGCTACAAAACTCAGTTTTGTTTCCTTATCTTGTTTTACATATCATTGTTTCAAGTGCATTCCCAGTACCGTATTGCAAGCTCCTGGCAGTCAGGGACTTTGATGCCTTTGAAATCAGAGTCTGTAGAGTGGAATGCTAGACATATGCTAGGTGCCCTGTTGTTTGCTTTGAGGAAGATCATTGCTTTCACTAATTATTTATTTTGGTGCAGCAGTCCTGAATTGTCCTAATAATGTCAGTGCTTAATTGATGATATGTAAAATGTCTTGGACAGTTCCTAAATAAAATTAGATCCCAGAAAATGTTTAATTTCTAAAACCACTTATTCATTTTGCTGGACTTTAAGAATCACCTGAGGGAAAGCCTGCTTGGATAGATGATAGAATTAGCTTTTTAACAAAGTGGTTGAAAGGAATAATCTCGTTGTCTGGAATTTGAATGTCTGACAGCCTTACCTGTTCAAGACACACTTGATACTGGAAGGTCCTAAAGAAGTTCTAGTGTGAGGGCTGTGGAGAGGAACCAAAGATAAAACGAGATTGGGTAAATCCCTTGGCCAGGAAAAGAGAAAGCTAATGATTTGTCAGAATTTTGATAATGATAGTGAATATTATTTTGGAAAGAGAAAAATTACTTGGGAAAAACATTCTTTGGTCTTTAATTTAGTTACTAGTTTTGTAAAAAACTAGAAAAATGTAGTATGTTATACCTAATTTTTTTTTTTTACTATGACCCATAAGAAGAGATACATTTTACTTTGTGAACACTACCTATATACAAATAAGAAACTAAAACAAAAGTTTTATGAAACAATATACATTCCATTATTTTTTGTTATATTCTACTTCAATTTTAAGGAAAATGCTGTGTCTAATTCGCTAAACTAATTTTATAACCTAATGAGTCACAACTTGTAGTTTGAAAAACATTGAATCAAATGACTGTATATTAATTGGAACTTCAGAAAGGAATTCCAGTTCATTCCAGAAGCACAATTTCACCAGAAGTATATCCCACACCCTTCGTAATTGATGATTAATAGGTACCAACCCCACATCATTTGGCTGGCTAGAATGGTCTTTAAAGAGAGAAAGAGAGCCTGGCCAGTGTGCCTCAGTTGGCTGAATGTCATCCCTTGCACCAGGAGATCACAGGTTCAATTCCCAATCAGGGCACCCAGTTGTGGGCTTGATCCCCAGTAGGGGGCATGCAGGAAGTAGCCAATCAATGTTTCTCTCTCATCTAAGTTTCTATCTCTTTCGCCCTCTCCCTCTCTGTGAAATCAATAAAAACATATTTAAAAAAAAAAAAAAAGAGAGAGGGAGGGAGGAAGATGCATATACATAAACTGTTAATGAAGGAATACAGAAGAAATTAATGAGTTGTTTGAGGGACAGAGAACTGGGTATCTGTGGGCAGCGGTGGAGATAAGACACTTTACGTACAGTGTTTCCTTTCATTTTTCATTCTTTAAAATTTGAATCGTATTCTAAATTAATACATAAATTCTGCTTCTACATTATTAGAGAAAAAAGTGAGGCAGGGACTCCAATATGGATCAGGGTTTGGCAGTAAAGATTGCTGTGACATATAGGAGTTACAGCCTGTATCCTGGTTTGCTGCCCTTGATCTAGGCTGGCTATGTTAACAGTACTTTAAAAAAATGTTTAAGTGACCCATTAAGAAGGGTTAATTTGTGTCTCATGCTCTGCTTATTATAGGGGGGTATATACTTTATTCTAGAAAGGTGGGGGGTTTTTCAGTAGAACATGGTTAAATATTTCAGTGCTTGAAGTAGTTTTATGTTTTGAAATTTTAACTTGTTATTTAGAAATAATTTCAGACTTACAGAAAAGTTATAAAAAGAGGAAAAATACAAATAATACCTGTTTTCAGGTTTACCTTTTGTTAACATTTTACTGTATTTGCTTTATGATTTTACCTCTCTACCTATTTATCGGATTTATTTTTTTCTGAACCATTTGAGAGAAACTTACAAATGATATAGCCCTTTATTCCTAACTACTTCAAAGTATATTTTCTACAATTAGGGATATTCTCTTACTTAACTATAGCATTGTTATTAGCAGCTCTGGTAAATTTAATATCAATACCATACTTTTTTCTAATCTGTCTGTTTTCTGTTTTTGTCAATGACCCAGGAATGTCCTTTATAGCACAGGATCTAGATTAGGTATTACATTTAGTTGTGTCTCTTTAGCCTCCTTTAGTTAGAAACATTTCCACAGCCTTTATTTTTTAAATAAACATTGAGATTTTAAAAAAAGAATGTCGATTATTCTGATGTTCCTTCATGATTAGGTACAGATTATTCGTTCTTGGCCAGAATACTACATAGCTGATACGTCTTTCTGAGAATCTCTCTTCTGGAGGTGCAGGAAGTCCACCTGCCCCTCATAGTCATGTTAGAATATACTTGGTCAAGGTGTTATCGTTTCTATTATATAATAAATATTTTTCCTTTGCAACCAATAAGCAATCCATGGGAAGACATTTTAAAACCATGCAAAATTTCCTGCTCCTCACCAGAATTTTCACCTAGATTTAGCATCCATTGATATTGCTTGGTCCAGTCTTTACTATGTTGGTTGCAAAATGTTGATTTTTCCAATCCTAATTCTACCTCCACATTTACCGGTTGGCACTCAGCATTCTGCTCTAAGCAAGAGTCCTCCTTTTCCCCGAACCCTTTTATTTGTTGTGAACTCATAAATTTCTCTCTCTTTCCCCTATGGTTCATAATCCATTACTATGTGAAGCAGAGAATTTGACTCTGGGTTTAGTAGATGACTTCAGGAGGTCAGTAACCGCTCTGAAAATGTGTGCCAAGTTCATTGTTTGAACATCTTTCTGGGGAGAATGCCCATAACTTTCATCAGAATCTCTAGAGTTCTTGGTCAAATAGGACTAAGTTCCACTAGGTAGAAGGGTTAAATGTTTAACTATCTATAACCCTTACATCTTTGTATGTTTTTTTATTCCCCTGCTTTCTACCCCAAGTGATAAATAACTGAAGTGTTAGTACTATACTGTGTGTTCCTCTGTAGGTACATTCCCTTTTTTTTGGTCTACCATTTTTAAACCACAGTTGAAAATAGTATTATTTTAGCTTCTTTAAAATTTTTTTGCTGGAATACATAATGTTAATATCTTCATTGCCACTGTAGCACAGTGTATGGTATAATAGAACCAGTCTTGTGAAGCAATGGATTACCTCAATTTACTTTGAAATTATAAAACCGATGTTTTTTACACTGTAGTTTTATTAGCTCTCTGGGAGTGAGCTACATGATGCTGTGCACTGAAAATTACCCAAATGTTCTGGCCTTCTCTTTCCTGGATGAGCTTCAGAAGGAGTTCATTACTACTTATAACATGACGAAGACAAACACTGCTGTCAGACCATACTGTTTCATTGAGTTTGGTAAGGGCTTGATTTTTGTTTCCTTTTCATTATCCTGTCTCTAGCCAGCCATAAGCTATTTTTTAATCTAACACTGGGGGAGGGAGTGGAGAAGGGGAAAATTCAGAAAATTCTGCTACCTTGCTTTTGATAGAATAATTTGACAAATGGTCTCTAAATTATGGCAATGTCTTTGTTTAGGCATATTAGAAAAAATTGTGTTTTAGCTGTAGAGGTGATTTTGATTATGGGCATAAAGAATTAACCCCAGAGGATAGTTTCTCAGTGAGAAATTTATAAGCCAGAGATTTAGAATTTTGTATTTATGTCATAATCTTTTATAGTCTGCTTAATATAGAACAGAGGTTGGCAAACATTTGCTGCAAAGGACCATATAGTGCTTATTTTAGGCTTTAAGCACTATATGGTGCTTAAAGAACTGCCATTATAGCTGGAAAGCAGCCATAGGCAATATAGAAATGGATGAATGTAGTTAAATTCTAATACAACTTTATTTACAAAAACAGTCAACTGGCTAGATTTGCCTGTGGATATTAGTTTGCTCGCCTCTAGATATACAAGGGGAAAAAAATAGTAAAACTGAGTTATAAAATGTTAAAATAAAATTATAAGATTATTTAGGAAATATCTTGGAAGATATTTAGGAAATGTCTTTTATTTTATTAAATTTATTTTTTAAAATATGCATTTTAATGGTGTAAGCGATAAATAAGAAAACAGGTTTATAAGAATATGCAATTTACAGTGTATGTTCTTATGGAATTACAGCTGATAAATACAGACTTACTATTTTATGAGATATGAATCTATATAAAAATTAAGATTTTGATTTAAAGATTAAAGCTGTTATTTTATTGTTTTGTTGTAGAAGTTCATAGTAATTCATTATAGTAGAAATATTCTCAGTCACATAGTATTAAATCATTAGTTTACTTGCAATTATTAATTTACTACAGCATAATTTCTAGAGTGAGAAACTAATAACTTTATGATATACTAGCCATTAAACATAAATAATATTAGAATACTCCATGACAATTGAACAGTTTGGGGTAACAAATTAAACAGTTTATCTGTAAAATTTACTATCCAAAACCTCACTCTTAAATCATTTAATTAATAAATGACTGCAAGGAACTTTATTTTTTATTTTACATAGATAACTTCATTCAGAGGACCAAGCAGCGATATAATAATCCCAGGTCTCTTTCAACAAAGATAAATCTGTCTGACATGCAGACAGAAATCAAGCTGAGACCCCCTTATCAAATTTCCATGTGTGAATTGGGGTCAGCCAACGGAGTCACATCTGCATTTTCTGTGGACTGTAAAGGTGCTGGTAAGATTTCTTCTGGTGAGTTCTGGATCTCAATTATTTTTTTAAAATATTGTAGCCCGGCCAGCGTGGCTCAACGGAACACTGACCTATGATCCAGGAGATGGCAATTCAATTCCCGGTCAGGGCACATGCCTGGGTTGCGGGCTTGATCCCCAGTGAGGCGTGTGCAGGAGGCATCCGATCAATGACTCTCTCATCATTGATGTTTCTCTCTCTCTCTCCTTCTCCCTTCCTCTCTCTGAAATCAATAAAGACATATTTTTTAAAAAAATACTGTATAACAACAGAGGAAATCTTGAAAATGAGTTTATTTTAGTATTTTAAAGCAAGTACATGAGAGAATGTAGAAGTTCAAAATAATCCTTTCTCAGTGGTTTATTTATTAATCTACTAGACATGTGACTAAGTAAGAAAATACTTTTAAATAGCAATCTCAGGAACTGTTTGGTAAGGAAACACTTAAGAAGGTTTCTTTGTAAGCACATGTTTCTGGAAATGAATAGTAGTTTATTTGTAATATATGTTTAAAAGCATGTGAAGTACTTTGCATTATATCAAACGGCTGCCTGTATTCAAGGCCAGGGGATTTTTGACTGTCACACAGAAACTGTGATCATCTACTCATACCACCCCTCCTAAACAAGGAATATAATTGTGACATTTTGAAAACTACTGCTTAAAAATGGAAGCCTCATTATTTTGTAAGGTAGCATAGCTGGAATTGCTTGTTTAAAAAATTCTTTCTTATATTTGAGCTAGTCTGTTTCCTATAATGTTTATCTGTTTGTCTAAGCCCTGTGACTTCTACCTCCTTCTCTACAGCACTTCAGAACTTTGAAGTCAGTAACTCTGTGTTCTATCCTATTAATCTGGTCAACTTCATATAAAATATCCTCAATTCCCTTAGCCTTTTTGTCCGTCACATTTTGAAACCCTCCCTACACTGGAAGCTTTGTATATATTTTATTTGTTAGTATTCTTTAAATGTGGCATTCAGGACTGAACACAATACTTCATATTTGGTTAATACAAATTATGGGAGAAAAGGGGAAATAGATTTTACTAAAAATAATCTAGCCAGTTGGGAAACAAGTAAACAAGCAAATAACAATAACAAGCCCTGGAGGAGAGGAAGTGGATGAGTACCCAAAATTGTTACAATATGTTTTCTAAAATGTCCAACAAAAAATTATACGACATGCAGAGAAAAAGTATAATATATAGACTGGGGAGGGAAAGCAGGCAGTAGAAGCTGCCTATGACAGTGACCAGATATCAGATTTAACAGACAAAGACTTCAAAGTAGCCATTATAATTATTTTCAAAGAACTAAAGGAAATCATGATTTTATTATTATTATTATTTTTAAATATATCTTTATTGATTTCAGGGAGAGGAAAGGAGAGAGAGAGAGAGAGAGAGTGACAGAAACATCAATGATGAAAGAGTCATTGATCGAGCTTGCAACCCGGGCATGTGCCCTGACCGGGAATTGAACCCTGATTGCCTGGATCCTAGGTCGATGCTCAACCACTGAGCCACGCCCAGCCTGGCGGAAATCATGATTTTAAAAGTAAGGAAGGGCCCTGGCTGGTGTGTCTCAGTTGGTTGGAACATCGTCACGTACACTGAAAGGCTGCCGGTTTGATTCTTAGTCAGGGCACACCTAGGTTGTGGGTTTGATCCCCATTCTGGGTGCATATGGGGCTGGGAGGTAATCAAATTGATGTTTCTCTCTCACATCGATGTTTCTCTCTCTCCTTTTCCCTTCCTCTCTAAAAGAAATAAAAACATATCCTAGAAAAACAAAAAGTAAGGAAGGTATGACAATGAGGTTGCATCAAATAGACAATATAAACAAAGAGAGAGAAATTATAAAGAGAAAGAACCAAATGGAAGCACTTGATGTCTGACACCTTGCCTGGCACATTGAGAGCAGCCACTGTTAGTAGCAGCAGCAGCAGCAGCAGCAGCAGCAGCAGCAGCAGTAGTAGATGCTACTATTTGCTTCTCTCATTTCCATCTCCATGTTCATATTCTTTTCTCTGCATGGAATGCAGTTCTCCTCATTTGTACCTGTCTAAACTTTATCCATCTTCAAAGATCTTCACTAGTTCTCTATCACTCCTGTGCCACCACCTCCCCCCTAGTTATTTTTCCTCTTCAGAAGTCTGTATCTTTTAGTTTAGAATGCTTATTACTTTCGTGAACTATCTGTCCACTTCCCTTTTAAACACAGGAAGTGCCTTGAGGGCAGTTCCTGTAATTTGTTTTCATACCTCCTAAAGCACAGCATCTTATACAGAATTGTGCCAGAAGTGTTTGCTGAATAAATATATTAATTCACTATAACCAATAGTTCTTTGGTTCCCAGGGACTTACTCTTACTTCTTAGGAACTTTTGTAAACCCTTTATTAATCATTGGTGCATTTTGAGAAAAAATTAACTTTGTCATGAAAATGCCACTTTTGGGCCCAAGGAGACTAATTAAAGAAAAGGCATTGTAGCAGAAGACAATTATTAGCAACAATAAAAGATAAACTGACCAAGTGACAATGCTTTGGATTAAGCAAATTTTTCTTCTACATTGTCTTTCATTTGTTATTGTTCCAAATCCACTCTATTCCTAATGGTAACTGTCAAGTGCCAAATAGAACTGTGCAGTAAACATTTGTGAATAACAATGGATCTAAAAATCTGTTTAGTGAGGGGGGAAAAGCATATAAAACATAATACTGTACATTTAAATGTGATTAAATAACTCATTCAGTTTGTGAAAACTGAGAAAGTATGACCCTCATATTGTATGCAGATTGAGTTTTCTCTAGATAACCATTCCCACAAGCCTTGGGAAGGGGGTAGGATGGGAGGGAATCTCCGCTTGAGAATTTCATTCCCACAGTGATTTGGCACAGCTCCAGCCTGTCCTTCAGCATAATGGATGCCTTATCCTTGTTAAAGGAGTTTTGTTATTTGCTTTCATGCCTTTAAAAATATTTCTGGTCATTTTGAAATAATTAATTTTTAAATGGTATACTATCGTTATACAGAGAGTGCTCCAAGGCCAAGAGGCAAGTGTTAGAAACTTAATAAATATTTAATTTATATAGACATATTATTTATTTCTTAAATCAATATTGATCAACACATTAAAATGGTAATATTTTCCCATGTAAGAATGGCCATACCTTACTTACCATAAAAAGCTAAGGTTTTTTTTAAATATTCAGAATATAATTTGGGGTTTTTGCAAGTTAAACTTGTTTTGTATACTTCAGAAGTGTGATTTATATAATCTGTTAAGTTGTCAGGTGGTTTTATGCTCAAGGCCCATATTGAGGATTTCTTTTTTATTTAGAGGCCAGCTATCCCTTATGACTGAGGGGGGCTATGGGGAGGAATGGAAGAGAGATGCAAAACATGACTAATTGGTAGACCAGTTGGATAGGTTTTTAAATGTGAGATTTTTTTTCCCTCTACTGATATAAAACTTGGTATCAGTACTTTACAGAGGCATTTCATTTTTTGTTTTTATATCAAAATCTCAAGGAAATTGATTGAGAGACCAAGTAGTAAGCTTGAGTACAGAAGAAATTGAAAAAAATGTTATTCCATATTAACGTTTTCCGCTGAACTTAAATAATTTTTGTGATATGTGGGTTTTGTGTTTTTATGAGCTGTTCAGGGAAGCTTTTCTGCTGAAATGGCTGAATATAAGTGGCAAAGATTTAAGCCCTTCCTTATATCAACATTCCACCTTATTAACTTCATTGTTAGGGCTTTTACACTTCAGTGATTTAAATAAAGTGATCTAAATGTACTTCTGTTGTCTTCTCTTTCCATCTGTCTCCTTTTTGAGGTCTATATGATTTTGTATTTAGTTTTGTGTTTTTATTTAGACTCTATTATTAATTCTGTTAAGCGCAAAATGATTATGAAGGGAAACTATTGTATAACTAAATGTCTTACACTGCTGAAGCCCTGACAGATAAGAAAATGTGTTTACAAAGGTAAACTGGTCACTTCCTTTTTTTAAAAAATATGTCTATCGATTTCAGAGAGAGGCAGGGAGAGGGAGAGAGAGAGAAACATCAATGATGAGAGAGTCACTGATTGGCTGCCTCCTGCATGCCCCCCACTAGAGATTGAGCTGGCAACCTGGGCATGTGCCCTGACTGGGAACCGAACCGTGACCTCCTGGATCTTAGGTCAGTGCTCAACTGCTGAGCCACGTTGGCTGAGCAAACTGGTCACTTCTTCAACAGGTGTTCTATCAATTGTATCTTCAAGTGGCCTTCAGAGACGAGGAACTTCGTAGCTATAAGACTCCATTTTATTGAGTTCAGATTGGTGATTGCAGTTAACCCTTGAACAACAGGGGGTGCTGACCCCCGTGCAGTCAAAATCTGTGTATAACTTTTGACTTCCCTAAAACTTAACTACTAATAGTCTGCTGTTTACTGAAACCTTACCGATAACAGTTGATTAACACATATTTTGTATGTTATGTGTATTATACACTGTATTCTTTTTTATTTATTAGTATTATTTTGTTAATCCTCACTTGAGGATATTTTTTCCATTGATTTTTAGAAAGAATGGAAGGGAGGGGGAGAGAGAGAGAAAAAAAAACACATTGATGTGAGAGAGACACATGGATTGGTTGCCTCCTGCACATGCCTCAACCAGTGCCAGGGATTGAACCCTCAACCCAGGTATGTACCCTTGACTGGGAATCAAACACCTTCAACCTTTGGTTCACAGGCTGATGTTCTAACCACCTAGCAACACTGGCCAGGGCTATATACTGTATTCTTACAATAAACTAAATTACAGAAAAAATATTATTGAGAAAATCATAAGGAAGAGAAAATACATTTGAAGTCCTGTACATATTTATTGGAAAAAAAATTCAAGTGTAAGTGGACCTTCACAGTTAAAATCTGTGTTCAAGGGTCAACTATATATATGAGCTTTCATATATATCCTCTGGTATTTATAGCCCTGAAACCCAGGTAGGGGAGAGCGTTGCTTAAAAGCAAGCTATGTTTGTCCTTTAAAATGTTCCCTAAGCATTTTCAGGAAAGGTAGGAATTATGCAATGAATTTCCAAGCAAAGTCACCTTTGTAAATCTTTGCAACTGCTTGCAAGTGGTAGACATATTTAGGCAGTAAGGTTTTTTCTACCTGGTTTACTGCCAGATATGAGCACTCCTTAGCAGTATATATCCCAAATACAAATGAGATGTCTTCATTAAAAATGTAGAGAAAAATAAGTCAATTTAACTTGCATTCAGGGTCTGAAGCTGTCATGTGATAAGACATTTTGCATTTAAGAAAATATTTAATTACTAAGATATAGCATTAGATAATTTTATGAAGATTAATCTAATTGAGTGATGAATTTCATTTTACGTAAGTTTAGGTATTGACATGAGATACTAATGTTCATTTCTAACCATTTTATTTTCCAGCCCACCAGAGACTGGAACCAGCAACTCTGTCAGGGATTGTGGCGTTTATCCTTAGTCTTTTATGTGGAGCTCTGAACTTAATCCGAGGCTTTCACGCCATAGAAAGTCTCCTGCAGGTACTGTGCTAGTTTTGCAACTTCAGATACTGTGTGTGTTGATTCCGCTTGTTACAGAATTGGTTCGAACTGATTTGAGTATTAGTACAACTTGCAACATATGCTTAGGTTTTGTGTTCTTTGTACCTGCCTTATCCTCCCCTTCCTCTTGTTAAGAGAATAATGAGGGAATATAGTGCTGAAAGTGATCTGCCTTCTAAGGATTCTGTGTCCTAAAAGGTGGAATGGACAGTAGACAAACAGGAGAAAATGAAATGCCAGAATGTGGAAGGCGCTGTGATGAACGTAGAGTATTAAGCAGGGTAGGACTAGGGGTGCCAACTAGATTAATTTCAACAAGTACATCCTTTATAGCTTGAATCACCTGGAAAGAAAATACATACAGAATCGGGGACCTGGGGTCTCCCACCTTTAACTTTTCCTCATTAGAGTCTATTTTATCATTGTCCACGACTTGTGTGGGATAAAAGGTCCTTTTTATTCTCACCGAAGCCATTGAATTTAAGACATACTCTGTTTTCTCTCTGGTTCATTGTATTTTGTGTTAGGAATAATCTCTGGAGTTGTGGTAGATAATGTTTTGTCAGTAAAAGATCTTTTTGAAGTGATCTGTTCTGTCGACTTGAGTGCAAATTCCAGGACATGGGACTTAAACCTTTATCTGTTTTGAAGTTACCTGTAGTGAAGTTATTTAGGTGATGGTGGTGCTAGAGGAGGCAGGAAGGCAGTACCAGATTAAGTGGCCTCAACATGTCTTTAATACTTGATTTAAGGGCAAAGGATTTAGTTGGGGATCGTATGTTTACATCTAGCTGACAATATGTAGTGTATTTTCTGAGTGTGAGCAATGTACCAATATTAAAGTTTACTTCTTTAAGGCCATGAATTCTAAATACTCTTTCGAATGCTAAAAATGAGTGCCACATTTATCTTCTAGTGTGTAACTTACTTCTAGAGCCTGAGGCACATTTAAATTTGAGAACCCACATGAATTAACATTCATGTATATTGTTAATGTTGTTTGAAAATTCAGCACAGGTTTGTTTCTTCTAGATTAATAACCACCTCTTAGGGTGATAACAGGGGATTTATTAAAATACATAGCACTGAAGTTTTTTCTTTGCTATCTAAGTTCAGACTGGGGAAGTTTAGGATGAGTACATTTTTCTTTTAAGTTGGTAAATTTGATTTGGTGTTCACAGTAATGTGTAAATTAGATTATTTTCACTCATTTGCTAACTTTGTTCTGAGTTTAAAGATGTTAATAAGTTTCTTGTGAATTGGCACCTCATGAATGCATAATAAGCTTTTATCACATTGGGTTTATATTACCTGTGTTCCTTTAGGATCAACCTTGAAACAATGATATTAATTAGGCTGATGCCAACCTAGAAGTAATTTGCATGTGTTACATTAGAAAAAAAATTGAGTATTTTGCTACAGCAGTAGAAACACTGGCCTGGAAGACAGGATACCTGGGTCCCATCTGCCAGTAACTACTGTACCTCTGTGACTTTGTATGGGTTACTTTATCTTCTTGGATCTTACTTTCCTATTCTGCAAGAAGAAGGTTTTAGACTGCGTAGGCTCAAGACCACTTCAGAACAAATGACCACTTCAGAACAAACGTTCTAAGGCTCTCTGATTCTCAAATTGTTTCTAAAGACTACTACCAAGCAGAAAGTAATCAACTTGCTTTTATTCCTTGAGTTCTGTTTTTCCCATATTTTAAAGAAATTACATACCTCTTAAAGGTCATCGGAAGTTTTTTATTTATTTAGTGGTATAATATGTATGCTAAGATGCAGTGCTTGCTTTCAAAAGAAATAAAAGCATTTTGCCTGTTTCTCTGCTCATTGTTAAAGAATTGGGGGGAAATGTATAAAGGAGAAAATAAAATCATCCCCAAATTTTCTCTGTATATTATATATACATATACATATACAGGATGTCCCAAATACGTATACACACTTTGAATGATTATAAAATCAGTGTTTATTGGCATACAGTTCATTTTCAAAACTTAAAAGAATTTACAGAAATGAATAATTGTTTTGTCAGTGCCTGTTTTCAAACTGATGACCGTTCTGGCACTGCTGTTATCAGGCACTGCTGATAACGAGAAGCAGTGGATTCGAAACATCAAGAATCATTTTACAGTGGTACCTCGGTTTTCGAATGCCTCCTTTGACGAACATTTCGGTTTACGAACGCTGGAAACCCGGCAGTAAATGCTTCGGTTTTCGAACATGCGTGGGAAGTGGAACATGCCATTTGGCTTCCGCTGAGGGCAAGACCCTGAGGCCCAGCTGTCCGCTGTGGAGCCCTCGGTTTTCCAATGTTTCAGAACCCAAGTGCTCTTCCGGAGCGGGTTACATTCGGAAACCAAGGAACCACTGTATTTGGTATTTATGCGCCCTCAATTCATGGACTGTTGCCAGTTTTGTACAGTAAACTTTATCTTTTATGTATCCTCATAAAAAAAGTCTAGTGACACTTTAGGATAAATTTTCTTTGTTCAAAGCTTAGTCTGGCTTCACCCATTATTTCAAATCAGTTAAACCTGAAAAGGAGTGAAAACTAAGTGAGTTATCAGCTGTTAAAGTGTGTATTCATTTTTGGGGGACACCCTATATATACACACAAACATATATGAATCATATCTATTATATAATTCTGTATCTTTTCACTTAGGATTAAAAAGTGAATATTTTCTAATTATTACAACCTTTATAGTAGTATCACCCTAATATACTACGTGGTTGTGTGGCTACTATATGAAGTCTTTCCTTACCTCTTCATTTTCACTTAGAAAAAATTTTTTCCCTTTATTCGTTTTCACAGCAGTGTTTTTGTACCGTAGCATCCCCCAAAGGTGAATGTGACATTTTTAAAATTTTTATTTGAACCCCTTACCTCTGTCCCCTCCTTTCCTGCCCCACCCGGGCTGTCATTCCTCTGTCCCACCCTCCACTTCTGTTCCCTCTCTGAACCTCTGCCCCACCTTCCCCCAACCTCTGGCTAGTCCTCACCTACATTTCATCTGCTTCCTCTCTACTGGCTCTTGTCTCTCAGCCCTAAACATGTTGTAGCCTGCCAGTGTTTAAACACAAACAAAACCCCTTGATGTATGTTCCCTTCTAATTTTTTAAAGGAGTAGACAGTGTTTGTTGTCCGCACTCCCTTAGCTCTATTCTCTTAGTCTCCTGCGATCTCTTTTCTGCCCTCATAGTTCTTTCAAACACCTGCCATTGAGCTCACCAATATCCTACTGATTGGCAAATATCGCAGCCACTCTTGAGGCCTTGTCCTATGTGCTCTCTCTGCCTTGTCTCACATACTGTTCAGATCTTCCTTCACAAAATTACTTGTTTAATTTAAAAAATAATGTTTATTTTAGAAAACTTAGAAGTTAATAAAATAAAGCACTATTAATCGTTTGATGTGTTATTTTTCTTGACATTCTCTCATTCCTTAATTTCCATGAAACAGTTTTTTCCTATTGTATTTTTTTCTTTCTCTTTTTAGCCCTCAGTTTATTTGGTAAACTCTCACCACCCATCCTTTAAATAGTGGCTTCTCCAGTGTTCTGTCCTCAGCTTTGTATTCTTCTAACTCTACACCTTCTCCTTAGATATTTTCGTAATGGCCTTCAACAAAGGTTAATACATGTACATCCACACACATCCATACACATGCGTACACAGAGTAAAATGTACATGCAGTAAGGTGTACACACAATCAGTTTCAAAGCCTGTAATTTTTACAATAAGTAATTCTCTTCCCACTTCTCTCTAGAGTAAACAACTAGTATATCCTAGAGAGATTATGTCCATATGCCAATACACATGTATTTATATATTTTCTTATATAATTATTAATTTAAAATTACTTCTATATAAATGGCAGTATATTCTTCATACCAATTTGCATCTTTTTCCACCTAATAATATGTAGGAGATCATTTCATATCAATCTATAGAGATCTACTATGTTCTTCTTAGTGGCTGCATAGCAGTTTTTCATTTGCATTCCTCCCCCCCCAACACAACATTTTATTTTGAAAAATTCAAACTTATAAGAGGTTTAAAAACAATACAATTAATATTCACCTGAATACCTACCTACCTTCCATTCTCTCTTTCCTTTTGGAGTGTGTGTGAATCATTTGAAAGTAAAATTGTAGATATCATAAAAGTTCATTCCAAAATTATTCCATATGTTTGAGATTTCATGTGCTACTCCCTGTGCCTGGGATTCTCTTCCTACATTGTCTCCTTTGTTTACCAGTTCATCCTTCAGGGCCTAGGCTAAGCTTTATTTCCTCTGGCAAACCTTCCCCAGCCTCTTTTTTCTCCAGACAGAATTAAGTGGGTCTCCAGTAGGCTTCCTTAATACCCTGTACATACATATATCTATACCACCAGTTATCACTTGAGATGGGAATTGTTAGTTTATTTATCTGCCTCCTTGACTAGAGAGTGAGTTTCTTGAGTTGGTATGGACTTAATTACTTTCTCTCCTAGGTCTAGTAACACAGTTCTGGCCTATGAGTGCTTAATGAATATTTATTGAATTAAAGAATATGTTTATAGACAGTCTTCTCTTTACCAAGTAGAAATAAAGATTTTTCAAAGCTCAACTCAATTTAGCATGCATTTGTTGAATTCTTACTATGTGTGCAGTTTAATGCAATAATATAATGAAAGGTTATATAATCATTACGAATCATGTGGTTGAGGAATATCTTGAGAAAGTGTTTATATGTTTATGATATGTGAAGTGCTAAACAGCAGTATATAAAAGTATGATTCCAGTTTTATAAAATGTGCATATATTTTTGTATAGAAATTATTGGAAGGAAATACATAAAATGGTTAGCAGTAATTCTCCCAGAGTTGTGGTACTAGGGACTATATGAGTTTATTCTTTGTAACAATCTGCTTTCCAAATTTTCTACAATGAACATAAATTTTTTTAATCAGAAAAAAGATCATTTAAAAAGTAAGGGATTAAGAAAAACAATTGAGCAGAACTTACAGGGTGGGGCAAAATTAGGTTTACAGTTCATATGGAAAATAATACCATAATTAATAACAATACAAGAATAAACTGTGTTTCACGTGCTCATAACTGTAAACCTACTTTTGCCCCACCCTGTATTTAAAGCTTTAGAATTATTAAAGTGGAGAGGTTTCATGTTTACCTTCCCTGCCTCTGAGGTAGAACTGTCCCTAAGCATCCCAGACAGATTAATTCCTATTTTAAGATCATCTCACTAGTATAAGCCACTCTCCCTCTGCCTACAGTCAGTTCTTTTGCCTAATAGCCAGCAGAAAAGGAATTTTCTCTTTATATTATTTCATGAAGACATATTCATGGGGGACACTCATGTCTTGTGGAAATTTTCACTGTATTAAATTTTTTTCTAAAATAAGGGGAGCCCAGCTGGGCATGGCTCAGCGGTTTAGCGTCAACCTAGGATCCAGATGATAGGGGTTTGATTCCCGGTCAGGGCACATGCCTGGGTTGCGGGCTCGATCCCCAGTCGGGGGCGTGCAGGAGGCAGCCAATCAATGACTCTCTCACCATTGATGTTTCTCTCTCTCTCTCCCTCTCCTTTCCTCTCTCTGAAATCAATAAAGATATATTTTTAAAAAATAAAATAAAAAGATAAAATAAGGGGAAAATTTATGCTCCTGCCTAGGCTTTGTGTTCTACTTCATAAAAGTATTGAAAGAAGTAATAAATATAGATATTTAAGAGGCATCAAAAAGGAACAGAAAAAAATGGGCTGTTGCATGTTCCTATTCGTTTTCTTTTAAAAGAAATATTCTATACATGATGTATCTGATTTTCCTCTGGATAGCTATTTTTCTAGCACAGCATGCATGACTGGTTTTTCTCATTGGGATTTAGCACACTCTAGTGGGCAGTAGCTTTCCATGTTTTTTTGTTTTTGTTTTTTAATCTTGTCAAATTTCTGTATTGGACAATTCAGCGATGTGCTTACTAGATAGTAAAATTTGTCAAGATTTATTTGAGTTAAGGAATGACCCTAGTGAGCAAGACTAACTTTATAGGCTGCTGGGGTGTTGTACATTTTTATATAGTTTCTTCAGTAGAGAAAAGAGAGTCTTTTATATGGAAACTTGTTCCCATTGGTTTTCATCTTCTCTTGGGTAAAATGAAACTGACAGGCAGGCCAAAACATGGAGGAACACTGGTGGTTTTCCTCTATCTCACACTCCTTGGATCTTATGATAGATTTTCTTTTTCCCTTTTGGGACTCTGGAGAATTTTTATATACCGTTTCATGAAAATTTTGGCCATTTGTGCATAAATGTTTTCATATCCTATCCTGGTGGATTTTGTTTGAAAATAGGCTTCCACCAGAAAAGAAGTAATTTTTTATTTTGTTTTTGTAGAGTGATGGTGAGGATTTTAATTACATCATTGCATTTTTCCTTGGAACAGCAGCCTGCCTTTACCAGGTGAGTTCTCTCCTATTTTTAAGAAACACTTTCCCATTATTGTTTGTTTTTGGTATTAATTCTAAAAATTGCTTGTGTACTTTAATTAAAAGTAATGTCTGAGTTTTTTGCCTCCCTTTTAATTTGACCCTCTGTTAGCTTTGTGACCTACCAGTCCATTTTGAGTGGACATAGATCCCAGTGAACTTGACATGACAACTAAATATGGAGTCTGGGATTGAATTCTGGACCAGAAAAATGGCCTTAGTGGAACAGCTAGCAAAATTTGAATAAAGTCTATAGATTAGTTAATAGTATTGTATCAATGTTCATATCCTGGTTTGATGATTATGCTATGGTTATGTAAGAGGACAACATTAGGGGAAGCAGGGTGAAAGATATACAGAAACTCTAGTATATTTGCAACTTTTCTCTAAGTCTAAAACTATTTCAAAAGAAGAAGTTTTTTTCCCCCCAACTATTTTTCTACAATACAGATCACTTAGGTAAAGTAAGTGCTTCCAATTCATTTTTCTTAGATAGCAATCTTCTTTTTAAGTAGGCAGAGTTCTAATTTCCTAAGAATTAAACACATTGAACAGAATATTTCCACATTCTGCATTGTTGCAAACACCCTAATATCCTTCCTGTACTGGAGCCTGGATATAATTTCACAAAGGGACCTCTGCTTCTCTCTTAAGACTTTGTGATCACATATAATTCCTATATTTACCAGATTGTGAATTTTAGATGTTTTCTAGAAAACAGTTTATTCATTCAACAAACTTGTAATGAGCACTTACATGCCAAGCACTGTTCTAGGCACTGGAGATAAATGAGTGAAAAAGAAAATAAAAAATCTCTCCTTTCACGAAGCTTAGATTCTATTGGAAGAATATAGATGACAAACAAAATAAACATATTTTAAAAGTATGTTAATAGTATGGGAGGGAAAATGAAGCAGGAGACAGTAGTGAATGCCAGGATTTGGGGTAGGGTGGGAGGAGTACTTTCTGTATTTTCTAAAATGGCACTCATTGCCTTCTGTCCCCCTTTTTAAATTTTGTCTTTTATCTTTTTCAAGATGTAACTATTTCATATTATATATATAATGTACATATATATTATATATATAATGTTTATAATCTTTCTCTCTCCCCTAGAATGTAAACTAGAGAAAAGACTTTGTTTACTTAAAGCTAAAAAACAGTGCCTGACTTATAGCAGGCCCTCAGTAAATATCCCTTGAATGACTTCTCCCTCAAATGTTCACTCAGGTCCTCCTAGCTTAACTCCTTGCACTGAAAGGGGGATCAGTAAATATTGTTGATTTCAGTAATTTTCAGATTCAGGTTACATAAGAGTCCATTTTGCTAAATGGCTTATTTGAGCTTTTTGTACTTTTCTGGGCTGAAAATGAAAGATAGACCCCCCGAAGGCCCTGAGAATGCTTCTTAGTTGCCTGTCACCTTGAGAAATTTGTCCAGCCTGTTTGCAAGGCAGTCTTCTGATTATTCCTCCATTTAAAATATGATACAAAATGCTTTTTCTCTTGAAAAATGAAAAACATAAAAGGAAAAATCTGTTTCCCTTTCATAGCCGAATGCCTTGATGTTACATTATTTTATCTGTAGATGAAATTGCACTCTCATATTTTACTCTGTGTCCTGTTACAGTTTTCTAGTAGAAGCATCGATTTCTCTTCCTGTAACCCTAATCATCTTTCATTTTATATTTTGAACAGTGTTATTTACTTGTCTACTATACTGGCTGGCGGAATGTCAAATCTTTTTTGACTTTTGGCTTAATCTGTCTATGCAACATGTATCTCTATGAACTTCGAAACCTCTGGCAGCTTTTCTTTCACGTGACTGTGGGAGCCTTTGTTACACTGCAGATCTGGCTAAGGCAAGCCCAGGGGAAGGCTCCTGATTATGATGTCTGACTCCATCCTTCAGACGTATTGCCTGGGCTTTTGGGGGGAAAAGGAAGGAGCATATCATAACTGCCACTGTGATGAAGAACCTGTTCACCACAAGAGAGAAGCTCTGCTTTCTTTCTCTCCATGTGTCCTTTTTGTTTAAGTCAGCATGGCATGCCTGTGAGCATGCAGTACCCGTGAGGCAAACTCCTCTCAGAAGAATGTTGGCCCAGATTATTGTTCAGAGGAGGAGGAGACCTCTCTGCAGGGCCGCATCGGAGGAAGAACAGTCCGCCACCGTTGGAACACTTGGCCAGCAGTTCTGAATCCCTGCCGCAGAGTTCAATTAGAACATATATTGCTCTTCTGAGGACCAAGCAGGAACTCTCCAAACTGGGTTTGCCTTTGTGAGGCGTTAGTATAGACCAAATAAAAAGATGCCGCAGTAAATTGAAAAGGTATGTTTCAAACAAATGACTTACTAAATATAAGATTATTTGCACATTTATGGTACCATGAGTTATGAAGTCCAGGATGGTTTGGAATTGGTTCTTTCTTCTTTTATGTTTTTGCTTGAATTTCAACTCTGGGAATCACCTGATGTAGGAGAGGCTGCGGCGAACTCATCTCTGGAATGCCACAAGTATTGAAAGTACAGTACATAGGTTCCCTTTCTAGACTCCGTTGGTAGTTTCTTTAAAAATCACTTTTAAAAAATATGATTTGTTAGACTATAGCCATTGTTTTCCAGACTTCAATCATTTGAGTATTACATATACTATTATTTACTTAATATTTATTTTTAAAATTTTTAAGTAATTTAAAAGGAAACCAGTTGCTGTTCCAAGTGGAAAATCAGGATCAGTTTCCCATAAATAAAAGGTAACTATGAAATAAAGTTAAAACAAAAAATGTTAACTAAATTCTAGCTAGATGCTAATGCCCGCAAGCCTCTGAATCCAAGAAGCCTGCTGTTTCTTTGTTGCAGTGAGAGAGATGCTACCCAGCACCACAACGGGACTCTCTCTGTGGGATTCTCAGGAAGGTAAAGAAAATTGTAAAGGGAACGACATTCTCACTGTGATGCACTGTTATTTAATTCAGTGTATGTGCCACCTGAAATCATCCCCTGTGCCCCAGGGATAGGGCCCCGCACTAGGGAAACACTGAACTGCACTCAGAGACCAGAGGGTGACTTTTCTCCCAGCAGCTCATTCTTTTATGGCTTTGAGGAGTTAAGCACCTAGTATCTTAGAGAACTTACTTGCTTCTTGATAACATTATAAACATTATTAAAGGAAGCACAGTTTGATTCCATTAGCAAAATCTACAACTTCCCTGGTTTTGGAAGTCATCTTCATGAATCATTTTCTTTTGTTTTTTAAAGAAAAGATTCCAAACAAGGAATTTATAAGGTACTAAAATTTGATATCAAGAAAAACAGTGGACCCATTACATATCATTCATGTTATTGGGCATATTTATTAAGGAAAAGAAATAGTCCAGAGGGGTAAAGACATTGATCTGCCTTGTTTGCCCGAATCACAGATATGTAGTTAAGCCTGCAACTTCTTAACTAGAACCTTTTCGCTACGCCCTCCTTTTAGGAGAATGAGGCAAAAGGAAGACAGTAAGCTAATGATATCAGGGATTTATTTAAAACAAGAAACTCCAATTCACTCTAATTTTCTGCCTCTAACAAAACTGCGTAGAAATTAATGTATATTTTGAGAGATACCCCAAGGTACCACATGATCCTAAATCATCAAAATAAAATTGATTTGTGTTTGGCATTTTGTACTGACTGAGCCAGGAAAGTGAAATGGTTCAATTTAGGAAGGTTTTTTCCTAAACTAGTGGTTAAAACAAGAATAGTTTTAAATAGTCAATTATCCAGGAAGTTAGAGCATTTTGGTTAATTGTGATTTTGCTACATATTGATATTTTATAGCTCAGTTTGGTTCCATTGGTTTTCCTTATCATTGAATTATTGAGTTATAATGTTTGATACTTGGATTCATTCAGCAAAGACACTTGAAAACTCACCAGCTATCTTTAAAGACTTAATTTGTTTTTTGTTTTTGTTTTGTTTTTTCACCAGCTATTTTGGATAAGCGGATGTTTACATCTTAATGTAAAAAAATGAAAACAGGTATAAATGTTTTATGTATAGAAATGCCTTCTTTCATTATTTGGTGCCTGCATCTCTGAATGTGTATGTAACTTCCGTGTCTCTATCGTGTTGTTGTTACCAAAGAAACTGTGAATTTGGAAAGAAGTTTTTGCCGTGGGTGAAAAGAAGTCCTTAAGCTCTCGAGAAAGAATCATGTAGGCCTCTAATGTGTGTGATAGTAATATCTTACATTTATACTGCACTTTTACACCTGAGAGCAAGCCTGTGTTTACCTAATCATAATGAGATTTGTGGTAGAGAGGAGGTTGTAGTTGCCCTCCTGTTATGAAGGAGAAACTAAGGCAGTCAGATGTTAATGACTCACCTAGGGTCACAGAGCTACATACACAACTTCTAGTCTCAGCCCAGGGCTCTGTTGGAAATAATGAAGATAACTAAAATTATATTCAGGGAATATGTCTGTTCTTGGTAAGATCAAGGAATTGGGGACTTCTTAATGAGCACAGGACTGCTATGGTCAAATCTAGATGTATATATTAAGGTAATTCTGAAATACCGCTTTTTGATTAAGATGTGCTGTAAGAACAAAGAATGATACTTTCTTTTATACCCTAAAAGTAATTGCAATATTTGCTTGTTTTTTGTGGTGGTTTTTGGGGTCTATATTTTTATACCTGGCCTCTTTCCTAAAAAACTTTGAAGCAGCTTACCAAGAAAAGACATATGAAATAATGGTAATAAAATAGAAACAGAAAGGGGAGAAAATCAAGATCAATGAAAATGGAGGGTGTAAAATTTGACCCTTGAACTTCCCAGAAGTCAAGGCTAGAAGGGAGACAGTTTCCACTGCTCTAACTAAGTCAGCATCCCAGCTCCTCAGGGGACACTTCTTCCTGGTGAATCCTGGTGAAAATGTTCACACTTGGAGACCCTATGAAATGCTAAAATGAACAAAATCCTCAGTTGTTTTATCCACATTTGCATATTATGTTTCTGCATTGGATCCTCAATTTGTACTAGCTTTCAAAGGCTTTCATTTCAGGGGTTTTTGTGTGTGGCCAGTAGAGGATTTTGTTCTCATAAGAATTCTTATCCTAAACTAAGAACATGTTAAAGCTTGAAAATCCATTTGAGGCAAATGCCTGGGGACATGGAGACCTTTGCCCAACTCTGTGTTTTATAGCTTATGTAGAGTGAACGTGCTGTCCTTTGGTTATCTTCGTCGCAGTGGAGGGGAGTCTGGAGAAGTGCCGGGCTGCGTTTCTGTTAGGCCATGCCTGGAATCTCATCAGGGTCCTGATGTGTCAAGACTCCAGAGAGGCAGGTTTACCCTGGGGGCCTTAACCTCCACGCCACAGGAGTGCTTCCTTCTGAAGTTAGCTGCCCACCAAGGCTTGGCCTTTACTCCAGAAAGTTTACTAAGTAATCCAAGGGCCCACTCTGAGCTGTTAGGTTTCCAAGAGACACAAAGTGTGTGTGTGTCTTTACCTTTACCTACTTGTTGTTTTATTTTATTATTTTATTTTATTATTTTATTTTATTTTATTTTATTTTATTTTATTTTATTATTTTATTTTATTTATTTTATTATTTTATTTTATTTATTTTTTTATTTTATTTTATTTTATTTTATTATTTTATTTTATTTTATTTATTTTTTTATTTTATTTTATTTTATTTTATTATTTTATTTTATTTTATTATATTATTTTATTTTATTTTTTAATCTTCACCCGAAGATATTTTTCCATTGATGTTTAGAGAGCGTGGAAGGGAGAAGGGAGGTAGGGGGTCATGTGGGGGGAGGCAGAGAGAGAGAGAAACAACAATATAAGAGAGACACATCTGTTGGTTGCCTCCTGCATGTGCCCTGACCAGGCCAGGGCTCAAACCTGCAACCCAGGCACGTGCCCTTGACCGGAATCAAACCCAAGACCTTACAGTGTGAGGGCTGATGCTCTAACCACTTAGCCACACTGGCTAGGGCCCTACTTGTTATTTTAACAGATTTTCACTTTAAGAGTTAGAGTTATCATGGAGCATGTGGTAAAAGTACAAATAAATTACTTCAAAAGTAGCCACCTCTCAGACAAAATTGAACACTTAGCCGCACCACGAATTAAGGTCACTCTTCGGGGCTGCATTCTTTGTCTATGGTCAAGCCTTTTTTGTATTTTTCTGCTTTATGGTCTCTAAGGAAATGGAATCTTGCTACCTAAAAATGCTGTGGTAAAGTCAAACCTGATTTTTGGTTTAAACTGGCTTTAGCAATAATTTTAGCTAAAAGTTAAAAGGAACCCCTCCAACTCCAAGAGCTATAAACGAGCTTGTGTATAAAGGCTGCGTCAGCTGAGAATGTAACTCGTGTAGTATTACCGATTAGGGTGGGAGGGGTCTGACACCTTCATCGGTGTTCCGGGAGCAGTGTTGGGTGCTGGCCCGTGGCAGCCTCCTGTGTGAGCATTGGAGCTTTTCAAAAAGCGGCAGCATATGTGGCTGCCACTTTCATGACATCTCTTCCTTATGTGGCTGAACTTCCCAGGGTACTTTCTTCAGCAGCTGAAACCATAGCGTCGAAGCACTGCATGTTGTTCGTATCCCCCTGCTTAACAGTGAGTGGTGTTGACATGTGTGATACGTTTCTTCTTCGCTGATGATGCCAATGTGTGACGGCCTCAGCACAATTGGGGGCTGTAGGAAACTCGGGGAGAGAGCAGGCTTAGCTCTCAAAGCGTTCCTGAAATCAATACCCAACCTTACAAATTGCTCCTGGTGTTTCCTTGGCAACAAACATTTTCAGCCCAACCTCACCACAGCTCACATTTGCCCTTTTCTCCTGCATCCTAGAGCACAGCAAAGCAGGTGTCGGCCAGCAGAAAGCACATGCAGGCTCTGGCTGACAGAGCGGGACTCGTACATCCCATTTCCCGGGTGCTCCTGACAGCCCTACCCCAGCCCTGCCTTGGCTGCTTGGCTCCTTGGTGTCCACATTTTTCTCTGAGGCATCTGTCCAGGACTGACCTGAAGGTCCTTTCACTGTAAATTCCTCCAGTGCCTGGGACTAATGGTAAGGATGTTTGTCACTCATGTGGACCAGTGCTGGGTCCTCCCTCACAGTGCATCCTAATGGCAGCTGAGGCAGGAGGAGATTGCGGGGAACGCTCATGCTCACTTGGGGAAACAAAGACACACATTCAAACTTGGGGTTCAGGTTTGAATGATTCACAAGTTGGTGCTCATTTTTGTGTGTCACAGAGACTTTCAGAAAGAAAACTGTGAGTGTGTGTGTATATTACAGTGGTACCTTGGTTTTTGAAGGTCTCCGTTGATGAACATTTCCATTTACAACCGCCAGAAACCCAGAAGTAAATGCTTTGGTTTTCAAACACTCCTCGGAAGCCGAACGTGCCACACAGCTTCTGCTGAGGGCAACACCCTGAGGCCTAGCTGTCGGCTGCTGATCCCTTGATTTTCGAACGTTTCAGAACCCAAACGGTCTTCCAGAACAGATTACATTAGAAAACCGAGGGGCCACTGTACTGACAACCAATGGGCTCCCACTGGGACAGCACAGCGAGGACAGACAGCTGGTATGAAGGGGAAATGGCACTGTGTGTGCTAAGCCTGTCATCCTCACAGAAAGCGTTTATGAAGGTCTTTTCTATTTTATAGATGAAGCACCTGAGGCCTAAAGAAGTTAAGCAACTTGGCCACAGTCACAGTCTAGCCTGCGTGGTGGCACCAGGATGTCAATCCAGATTCGTCTTACTCAGAACTCATGCTCTTAACCACCATGTGGTATTAAGCTAGGCAACACGGAAATATGTTGAAACATTTAAGGAATATATGTTGAGGTACATGTAATCTACTGCAGTGTAGATGTCCTAGACTGAATAAAATAGTTTCCTAAGGTTCCTACATCTGTGACAGTGACAGAACAAATGGCTTTAAGAGGAATGATGACCTTAAGTCTGGCTAGACTTTAGAGCAAGGAGGTATACAGTTCAGTTTGTTTTTTTTGTTTTTTTTAAATATCTTTATTGATTTCAGAGAGAGGAAAGGAGAGGGAGAGAGAGATAGAAACATCAATGATGAGAAAGTCATTAATAGGCTTTAGCCCGCAACCCGGGCATGTGCCCTGACCAGGAATTGAACCGCGATTGCCTGGATCCTAGGTTGATGCTCAACCGCTGAGCCACGCCCGGCCGGGCTACAGTTCAGTCTTTATAGTAAAACCAACTTATGAATTAACGATTCTTGATGTGGAATGTTAAAGCTCCACTGGGATTCATGTGTCACAAACATTTACTTTTCTAGCTAAAGTCCAGAAAGCACTGGTTCTCTGATATGGAATAATTTCATGGGAATTCTGCTTGAAGTGGTCCATATATATCTGAAAACATGAAACAAAAAACAGAAGGTAACCACTTGCAATATCGAATAGTGATTATGAGTTTGGAGCCAGACTCCCTGGCTTTCCTCCTACTGGCATTGTGACATCAGCAAGTCATGTAACCTCTCCCTCAGCTTCCTCATCTGTAAAGAGGATAACAGTACCTGGAGCAAAGAGCTGTGGGAATTAAATGAGTCAATAAATAGAAAGCGCTTAGAACAGAGCCTGGCACCATGTGAGGACTGCCTTACCACCAGTCTTTGGTCTTTTTTGGTATTGCTATTTCTTTCAAGGTAGCAAGAGTCATTTTAATTGCAAATGCCCCCAAGTATAATAAATCACTGCACAGAGCTTTTCAGAAATTGCCAGTTTAAGTAAGGATCCTATTGAAATGTCTAGCAGGCAGGTGCCCTGGCAAGCTCTGGTGAGCGGACTTCTGGGCAGGGCACTGGGGCACTAGAGGAGAGGAGAGGGGAATGGAGAGACTCAAGCTGGCCAATTGCCTGCTGCATATCAGGTGTCTTGCATGCAGAAGGTTATGTGAGCTTAACAAAATCCATGTGAGGTAAGGAAACAGGATCAAGTTATCCAGTGCCACACAGCCTGGAAGTGATAACCTGCTCTTTAGGACCCCAGGTTCCCAAGCACTGGACCGCTGTTGAATCGAGAGGTTGCCTCTGGGAACCTCACCTGACCCAGTGAGGCTCCATCATCGTTTGCTTTTAACATTCTAGCCTGATCTATCGGGCAGCGGCCATCCTAGTGCCCACGTTCTGTAAGGGCCCCCTGAGGTTGTGTGTGTGTGAGAGAGTGTGTGTGTGTGTGTGTAGTCAGTGCATTATGGGGAGGTGGTGAGGAAGGCAGCCAGCAGCCTTCAATTCACAGACTGGAGATATGTGGATGCTGAGGGTGTGAGAGCTCAAGGCACTCTTAAAATGCATCGTGGCTTTCAAAAGATTAATTTGAAGCAAAATGCACTCCCCCCCCC